TGAATCAAACTCGTCCGCTATTGGACAAAAGCGGATAACTTTAAATTGTTCCCGTGCGGTTATTATAAACATTTCGAAAAAATTTTATTAGAAAGATCGCATCAGAATAATGTATCCTACAACCGTATAATGCTCTGATGCGGAAGATACGGGACACCCTGTATATATCAAAAGTGTAAGTTTATATAAAATGTTTGAAAATGTCTTTAGGTAAAGTGCCCTTTTGGGTAACAAAACTTGAGTGAATTAAAAATAAAATTATCCTGATTTAAAATCAAGCTAGAGCGTATTTTAGGGAGATTAATACACGACAATTGCACAATTTATCGACAATTTTTAATTATTTATTAAGGTTTTTTGACTTAATTATAGTTGTCAAAAAAGTGACAGGTAAACAAAAGTATATATGTATATGGTAGTCGTGTTTTTATCAGTTATGTTATAAAATATCACGTGTGATTTATTCGGTTGAAAAACCTAGGTAACTTTTATCCACTTAAAATATCACGTTATTGGTCGAAATTTTAAACGATCGTTACTCTGATTGGTTGTATATTATTGGAGTGCATTAATCGATATTAATTGTCATTTTTTGGGGTTTAGCCCTGCTTGATTAAAGACTAATTTTGAACATATTTCAATTTTTATAAAACAAGTGCGGCTTGACAGTGAAAGAAAAACTCTTTTTGTAGCAGGTAAAGTATCTTTTCTGTTTACAGTACGTGAAAGTGTTACTAAGAAGTTTTGTTCAGAATGAAAAACTATGGCCATATGCAAATTTTCGGATTGATTGGCTTACTTTGAAAAAATCCATATCAAACAATTTTATATCTAACAAAGACTGCCATGGAAAAACAAAATTGCTTTCCTGTCATTATTAATTTGTCAAACTGTAATTTAGTAAATTTAAAGTGTTTTTTAAATACAATGTTAACATCAGATGAAAAAGTTTACGTGATTCAGTGTTATGGAACCAGGGAAAAACCGATAAATGTGGTTATTGCTTTATTTAGTGAAAAATTTCCAAATACTGCAATTAAAAGAAGTACTTGTTGGCGTTTAATCAAAAGATTTCTTACAGCAGGAAGTATTCACTCTAACAAAAAAAAATTATGATGAAACTGATTAACTGTTAACTATGATTAACTGTATTCTTTTGTGGGCGAACACACACTTAATTTTTTGTGAACATTTTAAGAACGGTTTGTTTATTTCTTCCTAATAATCTGAATCTCAAAACAAAAAATCGTAATAAAGTACTATTGACCAAAATAATAAAAAATGGGTTTTAGGGNAAAAATTACAAATAGCTGATCCGGTCATACGATTTCGATAAAATTCCATATAATATGGTATTTTTTTCTCATTTTACAGACAAAAGTTACAAAAGTGTATGTTATGCTATACATGTCAAAAGTGTAAGTTTATATGAAATGTTTGAAAATGTCTTTAGGTAAAGTGCCCTTTTCGGTTGGTAGATTTGGTCTAAAAGTTGTTTACGAGCTTTCGATTTTGGTTTAATAGCTATATACCAAATGTCATTACGGTAACTGATTGTGTTTTTAAGTTATCGTGTTTACACACATGCACATGTATGCATGTATTTATGTACGTACGTACACACAGACATTTTCTGGATGTGGTAAATATGGACTCAGGGGACCTCAAAACGTGTATATCCATCAAAATGTCGAGGTCGAATTTTTGCACGATTACAATACTTTGTCTCATATACAGTGTGTTCCCGGATAGGTGAAACGACTCTTATAAAAGGTACATTTTTTTCGATATTGATTGTCATCTTTTGAGGTTTAGCCCTGCTTGATTAAAGACTAATTTTGAACATATTCTCAATTTTTAAAAAACAAGTGAGCCTTGACAGTGAAAGAAAAACTCTTTTTGTAGCAGGTAAAGTATCTTTCCTGTTTACAGTACGTGAAAGTGTTACTAAGAAGTTTTGTTCAGAATGAAAAACTATGGCCATATGAAAATTTTCGGATTGATTGGCCTACTTTGAAAAAATTGATATCAAACAATTTTATTTCTAACAGACTGCCATGGAAAAACAAAATTGCTTTCCTGTCATTGTTAATTTGTCAAACTGTAATTTAGTAAATTTAAAGTGTTTTTTAAATACAATGTTAACATCAGATGAAAAAGTTTACGTGATTCAGTGTTATGGAACCAGGGAAAAACCGATAAATGTGGTTATTGCTTTATTTAGTGAAAAATTTCCAAATACTGCAATTAAAAGAAGTACTTGTTGGCGTTTAATCAAAAGATTTCTTACAGCAGGAAGTATTCACTCTAACAAAAAAAAAATTATGATGATACTGATTAACTGTTAACTATGATTAACTGTATTCTTTTGTGGGCGAACACACACTTAATTTTTGGTGAACATTTTAAAAACAGTTTGTTTATTTCTTCCGAATAATCTAAATCTCAAAACAAAAAATCGTAATAAAGTACTATTGACGAAAATAATAAAAAATGGGTTTTAGGGAAATTACCTGGAATTACCCTCAATAAAATTCCTAAATACTATATACAATTTCAGGATAAACAATTTAAAGTTGTTGGTTGCGTTGGATATTTGGGCAATCAAAATAGTAATACCGCTGTAGGACATTATATAGCAATTTCATATCGAAATAGCATTAAATTGGTTATTTACGACGATTTGAAAGATGTCGCTAAGGAGGTTCAGCCTACTTTTGAAACTGACTTTGAAAAAAACTTGCCGAAAACACGGTCTTTCGGTCTATTTTACTTTTAATAAAATAATATTTTATCTTATTAGTTATTTATTGTTATATCTCCACTTTAAGTCATAGACCGGCGTCAAGTTAGCTCTACGTCACATATGCAACATACTAAAATCATAAGCAGAATTGTTACACGTCGTCAATACGTTACTATGGTAATTTTAATCGTAATTCTGTAATTCGTCAATTCTGGTTTGAAAAACAACCGTGGTAACGTTTAATGATGTATGTACAACAGTTTTGCACATGATTTTAGTATGGTAATGTTGGTTTTTCACCATTAAACCTTACGTCAGCGTCATTAATACGCTACTATCGTAACTGTAAATGGAATACCAATCCGTGGTAACGTTTGATGACGTGGGCGAAAATTTAAAGTATGCCTTTAAAGTGCAATACCTCAAAAATTATTCATAAAAAAGGACGCGACAAATTACAACAAATTAAGCGACAATCAATAACGCCATTAGTTTTTTGTTATCTCCGTTGTATACCATAGATTCCCACCGTCAAGTTAGCACTACCTCAAAAGTGTTCATAAAAAAGCACGCGATAAATTTGTAAATTTTACGACAAATTACTACAAATTAAGCGACAATTAATGCAATAGTTTTTTTTATTCAAATCGCAAGATGTAGTGCCAACTTGACAGACGTCTCTCGGGCTGCTTCTGCTGAGTTTCCGTTTGCAAACCCATAAACAAAATGAATATCCGCTAACTCTTGGTTAAAAAAAATAAACGACATTTTATAAAGTGTTTATGCAAAAAGCAAAAAAATTTAAAAATTGAAAAAAAAATAATTTAACACGTTAAGGAAAAAGAGTAATGAATTTAACACATTAATGAACAAGAAAATTGAATTTAACACGTTAACGGATAAGAAAAATTAATTTAACTCAGTGTGTTAAACAACTACTGGTGATTCGGCACTAGATACAATAAACTAAAATATTAGTGAACTTACTTTGTTTCCACGGCACACATTATTATACTTGTCTTGAAGTATCCTCTAATAAAATTGGTCTAAATCGAATAATAAAAAGCGGATTATCTTGAAAACGAACTACTTTTACGCATTTTGATAAGAGTACCTTTTTTGTTTAAAAAAGTACAAAGAATAAGAATTTTGATTCAAAAAGCCAAAAAATATACTGTCAGAAAAGTTATGGTTATTTTAATCCGTAAAGAATACGTACAGAGCGCCGTATAATCTACCGGATATACATAGTAAAATAGACTTCATAATCGTCTTTCTCATGCCAAAAAACCTTCGTATACCAAATTTGAATAAAATCGGTTGAAATACACGTGTAATATTAAAAAAAAATTAATTTAAAAATTTAATTTGAACATCTATCTCCAAAACAAAGCGTTTGTCGACCTATGTTTATATAAAGTTTCTGTGTTAATTTTAAAAGATTTATCGACTGTTAAAGTCCTGCTACAAAAACCTGAAACACCATGTATAAAAAAGGACTGCAGTACCTCGGTTTCCCACTGAAGATGGGATAGGTTCGATTTATAAGGCGCCACGCAATTTTTACTACAGAACACTCTAATTGCGAAGAGAAGCTGAAATGTAAAAGAGTTGACACAACTATAACGAAACACAAAGAAATCGCAAAATTATATACCATACAAAATTATGTTTATTATGGAGAAAGTAAATAATAGTAAACAAAAGAAATATACATATGTATACAGGATGATTTTCAACCTATACGCATAAACTTGGGGATTTATTTCTCAGGACTAATAATGACTAATAGATGAAAAAAATTGTAGTAAAAGTTTTTTAGTAGATAGGCGACATCTAGCTAATGTGTTTCCTGGAAGATGGATAAGTCGAGATGGTTCAATGGCTTGGCCACCGTGATCGCCCTGCGTCAATCCTCTTGATTTTTACTTTTCGGGTCACTTAAAAAGTATGGTATACGTCACGGAAGTTAATAGACAGACAATCCGCCAACTCCTTGGTTTAGGCCGCGCTAGTAGAAGATCGTGGATTCAGGCAACCCAATTGATAGAAAATATGGGAAATAACTTCCAACACTTGCTGTGATGTTATTTTAAAATGTTCTATGTATTCTTGATTTGAAAGTAAATATCACGGATATCTATGAAACAGAAAATATTTTACTACAAATTTTTTCTCCTATTAGTCAGTATTCGTCGTGAGGAGTAAATCCCCAAGTTTATGCGTATAGGTTGAGAATCAACCTGTATTAGAGATGAGCAATAAATAGCAACCTGTGATTTGATCACTGTGAACGAAAAATCGCAGATCATCATATGATCTAGTGCGTGCCAGCATTGCTATTGCTATTTCAACCGAGCTCTTATCGTAAGAGCTCGGATTTTTTCGGTAAATGTATTCACTTCGTGCCATGTGCTCACAAACTCGTAAACAAACTTGAACAAGCGTGTTGTTGTAAAATATTCACGAATTTGTGCAATAAAAAAGAATGTCGTCAACACAAAGAAGAAAAATTAGTGAAATATGGTTGTTTTACGACCAGGTAGATGAATTTTTTGCCAAATGCAACTTATGCAAAAGGGTGTTTTCGTACAAAACAAGCATAACCAATTTAAAAAAACATTTGGAATGTAAACATCCGACTGTATCCATACCAAGTTCCAGTACTTCGACAGCTAGAAGAGATAGTACATCTTCTAACTCACAACAGGTAATAATTAATATTAAAATAAAAATATTAATATTAAAATAATAATATTAATATTAAATATTAATTAGTAAAGTATGTTTTGCCGATTTTTTTATTGCAATCTTTTTCTTTCAACTTTTATTAGAGTGAATCTCAACCAGCAACACAAAATCAAAGAGTAGTTCCGATAACAACGTATATGAATAGGCCATTAAATGAAAGCAAGAAAACCACTCTTGATAGTAAGCTCATGTTGTTATTTACAAAATCTCTCCAACCCTTCAAATTGGTCGAAGAACAAGCGTTTTGTGATTTTATACACGAACTTAATCCGAGTTATCAGTTACCAAGCAGACATTTTATATCACGTACTATGCTTCCGGCATTATTTGAAAAATGTAGGTTACGAGTAAAAGAATTACTTACAGAAGCAAAGCGGATCTGCATAACCACAGATTGCTGGACTTCAATTAATAATGAGGCTTACATTGCAGTGACTGCACACTATGTTGACGACAAATTTAACTTAAAATCGCTTCTCTTAGAATGCAAGAATTTGCCAGGAAACCACACCTCTGCAAATCTTGCCGAATGTCTTGATACGGTAGTGACAGATTGGAACATCAAAGAGAAGGTATTATTAGGAATTTCCGACAATGCGTATAATATTGTTAATGCAATGGAAACCCGATTAAAGTGGAATCACTTTGGTTGTTTGGCGCATACCCTAAACTTAATAGTCAATGCTGGACTAAAATGTGACGATAATATTGTATCCATAATAGAAAAAGTTAAGAAAATTGTGGCGTTTTTTAAACGAAGTACTACAAGTAGTGCAAAATTCTTAACGTATCAGCGGAACAATGGCAATAATAATCCACTTAAGTTGTTGCAAGACATCCCTACGAGATGGAATAGCACATTCTATATGCTCGAAAGATTTATACAACTTGAAGAAGCTGTAAAGGCAACAACAGCGCTACTAAGTACCAATCTGCCGATTTTAGAGCAAAAAGAATGGCAAATTCTGAAAGAATTGGTACAAATTCTAAAACCGTTTGAGTCGGCCACAAAAATATTTAGTGGTGACACTTACGGAACTGCAGCAATTGTTATACCTGTCGTCAATGGTTTAACTGATATCTGTGCAAAACTGCTACAAAAAGATTTATCTGATTGTATAAAAAAAGTATTACAAATATTTCAAAGTGGTATTAAGAATCGTTTAGAAAAAGTCCATGAAAACAGAATTCTTTGTGGGGCCAGTTTCTGCGACCCTAGATTTAAGTTACATGCTTTTACAAATCAAACAGCACAAGGGCTGGTTAAGGAACAAATGATATCTGCTGTGACTGACATGATTGTTAAGGTATCGAATTCGAATGAAGGTACACAAGATCAAAATATTCGCATAAATTCCTCAGAAGAGGTGAATGATGATGAACTTTCGGTGTGGTCCGCATTTGACAAAAATACATCCGATAAAGCTGTTCCTCAAGAAACTTCCTCAACATCAACACGCGCTATTATTGAAATCGAGAGATTTCTCGAATGCGGATTAATTCCTAGAAACGAGGATCCGTTAAAATGGTGGAGGATCAATGGATATCAATATCCTTACCTAAAACGTGTTGCCCAAGAAAAGCTCAGTGCTTTATGCACTTCAGTACCATGTGAACGGGTATTTTCAAAAGCAGGCTTGGTTATTACAGACAAAAGAAGTCGTTTAAGTACAACAAAAGCCAACATGATTTTATTTTTGAATGTTAATGGAATTCACTTGTAAGCCAATAGTTGTTTCGTTGTCGTCCAAGACTCCCAAGAGTTTTATTTTTAAGTTGCCAAAGAGTTTACTTTTGTTTTTTAACTTATTATATTTTACATAGTTTGTTCAATACATGTTTATGTTTTTTTAATGTTTTATTTGTGTTCACTACCAATATACAATATATATTGTTTAAAATTTATAATAATAAATATATACGCTGTTTTATATTAATAAAAATCTAAAAGTCCTTATTAGCAGTTTAGCAGTTTACAATCACTGCTATTTGGTAGTAGCATTAGCAATGTGTCATATGATTAAACAATCGCAGTTTAGCTCATCTCTAACCTGTATACAGAATGTATCTGAATGACTACAACAAATTTCAAGGGGTGATTCTTTTGTGAATTTTAAGGGTACTTTAATATATGAACCATGGGCGACATCGGCTCCCCTCGGGAGCTACGCCCCTCTAAAAATAGCAAAAAATTTTGGTTTAATTTTTTTTTCTCGATAACTATAAACACCAGGAAAATTAAATTTGGGGAATAAGTTTAGCTCATAATAGGGCATGTTTCTAGCTTATTTGTACTTTCAATATTACCTTCTAAGTTACTAAACGTAACCACCTCCGTTAAATTTTTGCTTAGATTTTTGTTATGAATTTGATAAATACATTGGAAAAATTGAAACTTTTTGTCTCCCTGATGTTCTTCAAAAATTTAATAATTTCTGAGAAAAAAATTAATTAAGCAAACACTAACTGTTAAGCTGCAGGGTTGTTAATCGAAAGTTGGAATGAATTTTTAATGAAAATATTTTAGTAGGCTTTGCAATCTTTAAAATGGGTAAAATCCATGTTGCAAGATTAAATTTAAATAATTTAAATGAAACAATACGATGTTCGATAAAACTTCTTTCTTGCTATATTTATTAAATTCCTCGGTACCGGTTTCAACCTAATTTATTAGGTCATCATCAGCCGAATCTACATGACCAAGAAATCACAATTACAAACATTCCTTAATCAGTCCCCGATTGATCTGAGATCTCGATCAGGTGAACGGAAAAGAAGTAAATCAAAATAATCGGAATCCAAACTAAAATTAACAAATTCTCCCCTAATAATCTGATGTACAATAAAAAAATAAATGATTACCAGATTACAAAAAAAAAAATTGAAATGTAAAGATAATAAAAAAAAAAATGAATGATAATAACAATAACATTGAATTTTAGTGAAGTTAGATTACCAAGCAAATGAAGTATCAAGAGAAAAAAAATTAACCAGTAAATATAATAATGATTCCAAATTAATATTATATAAAATTATCTAAACTTCACTGGGTAATCTTTTGTGTACAGGAAAAATCTGACCTTTTACTTCACAATGATGAACTTCACGATGATGATAATGATATGTAGACACAAGGACGATGAAAAGACAGCAAAAGTACAGCAACCGTTCAGCAAACCTCCTCCGGAAACACTTGGTAGAAGGTAAATACAGGAAATTTGGGTTATGTTGAGATTTTTGAGCTTCTTATTAACTTCTTTATTCCAAATAATACTTGTTTCCTGGATAGGAGATTTCCCAAGTTCTTTTGTAAGAAATATAGCTCAAAGTAAAAACCTATACGTTTGAAAAAAATTAAAAAAACTGTAAATATTGTATATAATTAGTTAGGGATGAATGGAGGTATAGGTGATTTTATGTAGTATAAAAAGAGTTTGGAAGAATTTAGGTTTAAGGTAATATTAAGTAGATTAAGTTAAAACCAAAGAAAAATATAAAATAGAAAAACCTACCTCAAGATAGTATGAGGTTTTAACCAGTAAAATGATTTAATCTTTGTAAAAATGTGCGGCAAAACCGTAATCGTTGGACAATTTCCAAACGAAAAATTAACGGATTAATTAACTTAGATCTCGATAAATACGGATACAAATCGATCGAAAATTCTACACAGAACTATTCAAAAAGGCTGGTTTCAAAAGAGGAAGAAGCAACTCGTGCCGGCGAATTCATTTCCCAAAAAAATGAAAACTGGACGTTACACAATTTTTTAGTGAAGATTTTAAATTTTGTCCGCCATTTTTAAACAAGTTATGACGTCATCGATACTTTTTTCAAATGACAATCCTCCATTTTTATTACAAAATATGAAAGAGGATTTTTTTCTGAATCTAGTGCAGTCAATTTAAAATATTAGTTACATAGGAAAATTTTTGAGAAAAATTACTTTAAAGTTTAACTACATACTTCAAATATATTGACATGATAAAAATAACAGTAGCCATGAGTAACTATAGTAACCAATTATTTTAAATAATTGCCTAAGTGTCGAAAACAAAACGTGTTGGGATTACTGGCCCACTATATCTTTTATTTTCAAAATTCGTCATTTCTGCCCATACGGCGAAATACCCATTTAGAAGTATTTTTTCGCCGATTGGAAGAAGATAAAATGAAATTCTAGGTTTTGATAGGAAAGCTTAATATTAATATTATAATTATAGGGGTGCATCCCTGAAGTATGAAATGCAAATATTTCCTCCATTACAATTAACTGTTTTTCATCTTTAGAATAATTAAAAGTTTCAAAATAATTTCTTATTTTATTATTGGAAGCTGATGCATCTAATAATTGTTTGTTTGTTGGCGTTCAAGTGATTCGTCATAGCTGGTCTGCCACCAACTGCAATAGACAGACATTCTCCTCCGCAAATTTTGCAAAAACAATGGTGTCTGATATGAGGAATAGAAATTCCTTCTTCAATTGATCGTGTTTCAATGGTAGGAGACAAATTCAATTATGCCCTACGGATCAGTTCGGCGCGGCATCTCTAAATACAGAGATTAACATAGTACAGGTGTCCCATCAGTTGTGGTATAAGCTTTTTTGACGTCTAAATTTAAAGATAGAAACTCCGAAATCGTTATGTATTAAGCCACCCTACTTGGCCAGGTAGTGATCATGTGAAATACATTTTTATTACAAGGTTTGCGAATAATGATGGATTGAAATGAATAATTTATGGTTTTATTTTCTACCGATTCTAATACCATATAATGTGGGAGTCATAATAAAGTAAATGCACTAGCAAAAAAATGCGATTTATTCATTATTTAGGATAACAATTAAGAAAAATGAAATGATAGTTAAATAATATTCCATCGGTCGGCTTAATATCCCATGACGTTAAAAACTTTTTATAAAAAATTCAAAGTGGTTGTGAATTTCATACCCTTAGAAGGCGCTAGGGAAGCTTGAAGTATGCTCGATAACAAGGTGTTAACCAGTAGTAAATACATACAAAATTTCAAATTGTACGGTTTATTTATAGCCGAAATAAAAAAAATAACTTTGATCGCTCATACCTCGAAAACAAAAGAGTTGCGACCCTATGTTTATTTTTTTAGTTTATGCCAAGTACTACGTCCTAGTAAAGTCTTCCAATTAAAATCTGAACCATCATGTGGATCATATGTGTTTTTTTTTATTAAACAAAGAATGAAAGCGCCACCTGTCTTTAATTAGTTTATTATTGATATTAACATTTTCACCCAAACATATCTTTTAGCAGTTTATTTACGATCTTTACACCTTCACTTCAACGTGTCTTCTTTTGCGTCTTCTCTCTGCTTCTTCGGTCTTCTGTATGTGTCATCTTCTCTCTACTGTCTTCTGTGTTTTGTCTTCTGGGTGTGTCGTCTTCCGTCTATTGTCTTCTGTGTAAATTGTCTTCTCTCTCATTCCCACATATGGTATACAGTACGCATCATAAGTAATTCCCCCTGTTTAATTTGTAAAATGTTATACAGAATGTTCCGTTAAAATAAACAAATTAAACTAAAACTAGAACTAGTACTAGCATCATCACTAGAACTAACACTAGACGTAGAACTAGAAACTTTTGGGTTAAGGCGTGCAGAAGAACGACTATACGATGAGGGATATACAGGGTTTGTCACGACGAGCTGAGTCTATATGTATACCATGTGTTTCATTTAAAATGACATATGCTTATATCTCAAAAACAAAAACTCGAATAGAAAAAAGTTTCAAGTAAACATTTTTTGGTGACAAGGGGGACACATTGTACAGAATGAACAGAATTTTTTTCAGGGTTGGATTAAGAAAAATTAAGATTGAATGAAAATTTTTTCTTCAATGTACTATTTTCCGACAAATCCTCTTTCACCAATCACGGCCAAGTAAATCCTCATAACATGCACTACTGGTCACATGAAAATCCTCGTTGGCTAAGACAAGTTGATCATCAAAAACCTTGGTCAGTTAATGTCTGGTGCGGCATTGTTGGCAATAAAATAATTGGACCATTTTTATTGATGGCAATTTGAATGGCAGAAAGTATCGGAATTTTATGTTGAACGATTTAACGGTTTTGTTGGAAGACCTTACTCTGGAGCGAAGACTTGCGCTATGGTATCAGCATGATGGATGTCCATCTCATTATGCTCTAGCCGCAAGAGAAGTTTTAGACGAAATGTTTCCTGAAAAATGGATAGGACGTAATGGACCGGAGAAATGCATGGCAATATGCAAAGAACGTTTTCAATGAGAATTCAGAAATGTTTAGAAGTGAATGGTCATCATTTTGAGCATTTAATCGATGTATAAAGGTAACTTTATAAATTTTAATCAATGTTCTAAGGTTTTAGTTTAGATTTTAGTACTATTTTATAATTACTTAAATCATTTTTTTATTAATTAAATTTTTTTAATTACATTTTGAAAAACGTTGTTTTATTTTTCTTTTTGTAGATATCTTCATAAGGCAGAATTTAAGAAAAAAATTTTTTAAGCAAAAAATACTTAGTTTGTCAAGTTATTCAAGATGTTGAAAGAAAAAAGTATATGTGCAATTTGAAAAAATTAATATGACGTCAGAAGGGCCTTTAGGCAATCCTGAAACAAAATCTGCTCATGTGTACCCTGTGCCCCCCTTTTCACCAAAAAAAGTTTACTTGAAACTTTTTTCGATTCGAGTTTTTGTTTTTGAGATATAAGCATATGTCATTTTAAATGAAACACCCTGTACAGCAAACTACAGGCACTATTTTTGTGAAAATTTGCATACAGGGTTTATCTAAAATATTTTCAGTTTTCTCCAACTTCCGGTTATACCAGAAATGGACCCCAACTTCGTTATTTTAAATGGAATGTACCAA